AATTGTAATTGACTGAATCGGTATTTCGATTGAAGACACTCCTTGTATTTGAAATGGCTCTTGTATAACATTAGTATCTCGAAGTGTTTCCGCATCATTTTCCATTGAAGATTCTAAACGTTGGTCAGCTACATTGTTGACGTTGTTGTCAGTTGGGTCTAGTTCTGGTATAGCATACACGTTCCTGTGATCCATCTTTTGAACAACGTTCCAACCGCTTCCGGCTTTAGGGTCATCTAGATACACAATTTGTGTTGCCATGTTTGCCAAAATATAAGGGTCGTCATCATACCAAGTTCTGTTCATGTTCACAGATAGTAAGCCATGATCGATTTTAACACTTCCCGGCCTATTTGGGTTGGTGTCAAACCATCGACACTTAAACATGATCACTTGGTATCGATCTTTGTAAAGCAATTGCACGACAGTTGTGAGTTTGCCATAGAAATCAATGTCTGTACTTTCGCCTCCACCTGGGACATGGACACCGCTGTTTTGCGTACACAACTTGTCATCTCGTGCTTCGGCCAAAAATTTGACACCGTTGACATTACAACCCGAGAACAATTCAGCGCGAATCGGGCCAAACGCCAAGTTATATAACTCATCACTGTAAGTTGGGGAATTCGATGATTTCAACTTATTCACCTAATATTATACAAACCCATTCATATGTTAGTCGGACAAAATTTATTAAAAAATTTATATTTCTCAAATAACAAACACTGATAACTTACAGAATCCAAAAACCATTGTGGAAACAATTCACGGTGTTTCTGGGCAACCAAATGTGATGGATGTTCTCGCTTCATCATCTCTTCATGCTCATATAAGTATCCCATGATCTCATCACAATTGTTCAGTACGAACCAATGCGCTACCTCCATGTCATTTCTAGAAAACGACTCTCCGCGTCCAGGATCTCCGAAGGGTCGTGCGCTTTGGGCAAAAACAGAAAGTTTTTCATTTCTCATACCTCCATCATGATTGCGCTGAGGACGATTGAAAACCGTCTCCACATCTTTTAAATACATTCCGCAGAAAGTAAGCGACTCATATTGAACCCAAGCCTCTACGATTGATCCTTCGGGCTTCGCCCTGTTGCGTACACTTTTTTTCAGCTCTCCGAGAAGCCTGCCAAAATAAAACGATATGATTGAAATTAGCAAGCATGTGATAATGATGCATACACAAATGATAAGGATTATATACCTTTCTATTGGATACATCCAGCGATAGTTGACAGGACCAGCAAGTAATGCCTCTTCTGGCAAGTGAACCATCACGTGCATCATACTTGTGAAGAAAGCTGGAGGAAATATCATCTCAAACTTGCATAGGACTTGGACAATGTCATGGCGCAACTGAAACATGTCCGTTTTTCGCAAAGTTTTCGCCGTCAGTTGGGAAAAAAATCTGGACAACAAAATGATTGGCTTCACTACATCTTCCGGCAATAGGTGTCGAATACCAACAGGAAGTAGGCGTTGCATAAACACATGACAGTCATGGCTTTTAAGTCCAGTAAATTTACCCCCGTCAACATTCACACAACGTGCGATATTAGAAGCATACCCATCGGGAAACTTTACTGACGATACAAACTTTAGAAACTCTTTCTTGTCATTCGGTTTCATAGAAAAGAATGCAAGATCCCTTCTAGCTTTATCATTGTCCCTATTCATCCATAAACCCCTTCGTATGCCCATTCTTTCCAAATCAAGACGAGCTTTGATCGTGTCCTTTGTCTTCCCCTCGATATCTAGAATCGTGCCCACCAATGTGTCGAATACATTTTTCTCAACATGCATCACATCTAGATTGTGCCTCAATTTTAGTTTCGACCAATATGGGAGCTCAAAAAACATAGGTTTGTGCGTCCAGTTCATATGTGTAGAAGGTCTGATACGACTAACTGTTTTCCCGAAGGGAGCAAAATCCAACCGGTTCAGCTGGTCCAATATCTCATCACCGGACCATTCTCTGGGTCTAAGGCGACGCTCAGTGTTCCCGTCGAACTCTTTATCTTTTTCCCTCCACTCATGGTTCCATGGCAACCATCTCCGATGACCAAGGTAACAAACTTTTCCAGCATGCCAACCAGAAGTTACATCTTCCTTGCATACAGGACATGCCATATAACCTTTTGTGCTCCACCCAGAAACCATTGCATATGCTGGGAAATCATTCACAGTCCACATAACTGCTGCCCGCAAAGTGAACATCTTCCCAGTTGATTTATCGTACGTGCGAACACCGTTTGTCCACAAATCCTTGAGCTCATCAACCAGCGGCCTTAAGTAAACATCGATTGACCTCCCAGGATCCTCAGTTATCAAAACAGTCATCATCATGTATTCTTTTTTCATGCATTTCCAAGGCGGCAAATTATATGGGAATACGAAAATCGGCCAAGTGCTGTGGTGTTGGTTTAGAACCCCATACGGATTGAATCCGTCAGTGGCAAGTCCCAATCTAACATTTCGGGGATCAGCAGCAAACTCTGGGAACGTTCGATCGAACTCTTTCCATGCCTCCCCATCTGCAGGATGCCGCATCACATCATCGTCTACCCGTTTTTCCTGATGCCATCTCATGTCTGTGGCAGTATGCGTCGACATATACAATCGCTGCAACCTAGGTTTCAGGGGCAAATAACGCATGACTTTTTGTGGGATCTTAGTCGTCCTATTCTGAGATGTCATCTTGAACCTCGACTCATTGCATATAGGACATGTATCCAACGATTCATGCTCTTTGTAGAATAACATGCAATTGTTTTTGCAAGCATGGATTTTTTCATAACCCAATCCAAGACCATTCAACACCTTCTGCGCCTGTTTATGGTCTTTCGGCAAACAATTGTCCGTCGGAAGCATTCTCTTGAAAACCCCCAAAAAGTAATCGAAACACAGGTTCGACATACGATACTTTATTTTTCCGTGCATTAGCTCCACAATGGCCGTGAGAACGGAAAAGCTCTCGCACCCCGGGTATAACTCTTGGTTGGCATTTTTTAACAATTTCTCATATTGTTCAAACTCCGCACTGTCTATTGGTGTAGGCACATCATCTTGCTCTTCTTGATTCATGTTGGTCGATGCAAATGGAAAAACATCCTGTATAATATCCATGACTTCATCATTAGCATCCACAATAGGTTGAACATTGTCCACTCTTGTGGCATTTGAAGACGAAGCATGCTCTAATTGTTCCCCGTGAAGGTTCCAAATGCTATATGTCTCAATCATTCCATTTCTTACTAAATGAAATCCAACATTTTCAATTGTCTCCCATAACGTGTTGTTGCACCTCCTACAAGGACAACGGATTCTAGTTGCACCCGGGTTGTGTCTACGTGCAAACTCAATAAAATCCTCGATTCCATCCAAGTATTCGTCTGCGCATCTGTTAGGGTTTTGTATCCACCTTCTGTCCATAATTCCTGAAACCAGAATCACAACACAACAATCACAACAACTTCATACGAAGTTATAATGTCACCTTATGCCTCCGGTAAGGGTCCTATCCCATTCGGGAATGCATACTCCTGCCACGTAACCTACGACTACATGAGATTAGATTTCGACGTGGATGAATTTCGCCAGCATCTCGCTACAGTTCTTGAGGTGGCCATAGGTATAAATACCTATGTACCACCCGAAGAACGTACCGAGATGACAACGAAATATCCACAATCGAAACCTAATCCTGTAGCCATAGATTACGTGACAACACTATGCATTACCAAACTGTCCAAATAATGGGACAATTCAAGAATTAATTGGACCGCAGTCATGCATTACGCATCCATGCACGAAATCCAACTAATCTCGAACGGGAAACTAAGTGTTACTAAACATAAAAATAAAAGCACGAAGTTAATTTCAATTAACTTCGTACATCACAACAGATTGTACTACGTTACGCACAACATAATATAAATATAACTTCACAAGAACATTTTAAACATATATAAAACAAATAAAATACCTTCTCAATCGTTCTCCACCAATCGCTAATTACAAATATCCCTAACGAAAACAAATTAAAAAACCTTAGTACGAACTTAAATTAATACTTTTAAACTAATGACGAAAAATACTTACCCAATCAATGTATTGAAATCCTAGCAGCAGCAGAGAGGTTGAGAGAGAGGCAGAGGCAGAATGCTTTGTTTTTGCATTCTGCCTCTGCAATGGCAGAATTCTAATATGAAGAAGAAGGACTTTGCGCGACGAACAAACTTATTCGTCGCGCAAAGTCCCGTCGCAAAAAACCAAATTATTCGTCGCGCAGACCCTTTTTTCCGTCGCGCAAACACCTGCCGACATCTAACTTTTGCGCGACGCTGGTAATTTTCGTCGCGCAAAACTTCGTCGCGCAAGATTGTCGCGCAAAAACATAATTCCGTCGCGCAAAACAGGGTATTCGTCGCGTAAACGTTGAACTTTACGCGACGAAACGTTAGTACGTCGCGCAAAAAAAAATATCCCACCCAGGTCATTTTTGGCGCCAAAAAATAAAATATCTCTTGTTCTCTTACGCGACGAAACGTCTTTCCGTCGCGCTAAATCACGGACTGTCCTATTTGCGCGACGGATAATTTGTTCGTCGCGCAATGTTGCCTTCAGCGACGATATTTCTCGTCGCGCAAATGTTTCGCGCTAAAAAAATTCCCCGCCCTTTTTTTAACTCAGTTTGCGCGACGAATAATGTTTTTTGTCGCGCATATACATTTTGCGCGACGAAATAGTTTGGTGGCGCAAATTTTCAGTGCATTGCGCGACGAAAATGTTTTTTCGTCGCGCAATTATTGTTTGAGCGACGAGTTGATCTTCGTCGCGCAATGTTTCGTCGCGCAAATAGTGAAACGTAGTAGTGACACAGTCCATCACTTGCCAACACAACGAACTCAGTGTCCTCGTCAATCATCTCCACCACCACATCAGGTTCACAACTAATGTGTTTCTTTAATGTTCAATCACCAAATGCTCTTCCTACAGCATAGCCAACCACCAGCCGACACGGGGAAGTTTCCCTGGAACGATTAATACGTAACCATCTCTCTTTTCAATTTCTTCTTTTTCTTTGATTGAATCATGATCAACAGATAGTTGTTTAGCCACACCATTCTTGCAGATAACAGCACGAGAATCCCCAACATTGGCTACCACCAGCTTCTGCTGGCAGTTGAACAATATAGCCGTAACCGCAGTTGCACCTCCTTTTTTTAAATCATCACTTTGCAGTATATTAGTATCGGTTACACGATATGCTCTCTTGACTGCACTCGCCGGATCTATCCAGAAATCAGGCTCATTTATGGTGTTTTTTAACAGATGAACATGCAAGTATATAGGAATTTCAAAGCTCTGATGGCCATCAAATACTGCAAACAATCCTAGCTGATCATGATCATCAATTTGCTTAAAATGTGAAACAACATAGTCTTCCGTAGCATGATCAAATTTTCCCGTTACCAAGTGGAAGCCGTGCGTTACATTCACATGTGACATGTTGCACTCCTTATCTGTATGGGAGCTAATCCAAGTATGTTCTTTACCTTCTGGAGAATTTCTGTGCCAATGTGAGCCGCAAGCTTTTACCACCAGGCTGCTTCTTCAACAAGTTTATGCGACCTTAAGCATATATATAACAAATTAATTGAGTTCACATATAATTGTCAAAAAGAAAAAACTTCTAACAACAAATTAATTTATGGGATTATAAGATCAATTATACTAACATTTTGTATTAATTAATTTAAAATTACTAACATTTTGTATCAGCAAACTAACGGAGTTTTTGACGGAACCTAACGGCAGGGACTATTTGTGATCGCACATACTAACCTTGAGGACCACAAGTGACACAAAAAAACATTAAGGATATGCAATCTGATAGTTTCGTAAACTTTAGGGACGTTTTGTGATATTAAGCCTTATATCTTTTTTCTTCCAAAGAATTGTTATAATATTTCTTTTGCCAAAGAAGTAGGCAAGTTACATTTGTAGCTTATCTTGAATGTCTAAGATTTGAGTTACAAAGAATTGTATGGATCTATCCAACTAATTAAAATGAGAACATGCATTTCTGATTACCTATCTCTGTCTAATAGTCAAACTCTCTGGCTTCTGATGTTTAATATGCTTAGAAATCAGAGCAATGCAAATCAACCAACAACTTCTACTTTATTAGTTACTACTATCTTGAATACACAGAAAATATTGTTTACCATCTCAAGAACGTATACTTTATTGGTCGGTTATCACTCTAAAGACAAGAACTACTAATTTATGGCCAACATGTTTAATATTAGTATTCGTATTGGTACTGATATTCCACTCTAAAGACAAGAACTACTGATATTCCTCATAATTCATGACTTCAAACATTCGACTTGTATGATAATCAATTCTCAGGTTCCATACCCACTGCTATCTTCAACTTATCTGTTTGTGGGCAATATCAGGTACGAGCCAACAAACAGCTATCTAGGAATTGATTGTTACCATTTAACATTAATTAATTCTTTTGTTTCTCCTTCTCTCTTCTTTTTCTGTGGCATGTGCCCATGTTTAACAATGCTCAAGGAGATACATCTTGACTCCAACAATTTCAAAGGTATGCTATTCTTATACGACTCGGCATTTTGTTGATGATAATGGGGTCAGAGCATTATATAGCATTCATAAACAGCTTATACATATAATCTTAGGGGCTGGTTGATGATAATGGGGTTAAATATATACACGTTGATTTTTCAGAAATTCCAAACGAGATCAGCAGTTTAGATCAGTTAGAGAAGTTGTTTGTGCAGCGGAATGCCCTAGAAGGTGATATTATTCAAGCCGGGCAGATGAGATTAAACTTGGGTGCTTGGGTTTATTGCATGTGGCAGGTGAAATACCAGATGAGATTGGCGATCCGCACAACTTACAGGGTTTGGCACTCCATGTTTATAATCTCAATGGTGTCATCCCATCCAGAATCTTTAATTTATCCATGATAAAATTTATTTCTCTATTTAGTAATCAGCTCTCAGGTAGCCTCCCAGCAGACATAGGCACTGGGAGTTCCAGACCTGCAACAACTTCCTGTAGGAGATAATAAGCTCAGTGGAACCATCCCCAGACATGCAACAAATTCTTGGCTAGTCTTAGAAATTTGTCGATGATCAGCTTGGAAGGTAAGCCATTAAATGCCACGCTTCCTGTTTTCTTTGGGAATCTCTCAACAAAGCTTGAAATTGTTGATTTAGGCAACTGCAACATGAGGGAATGCTTTCAACAAGTGGGGATGTACAGTTTTGAAATTACAGCCACAGCACACAGTACACAATTAAGGGACATAAGTCGGGCTCCTCAGTTAATGCACAAGGCCTCAGCAAAGATAGATGAAGTTTGAAAAATGGCCAGGCGGTAGGATAAAAGAACAAAAGAAAAGAACCAAACCCACCCTGGTGCCCAGACCCTAAACCCTAAAGAACCAGACCCACCCTGACACCCAGACCCGCCTAGCGCCGCCTAGGACCGCCTAGCGCCGCCTAGGACCGCCTAGGGCCGCCTAGCGCCGCCTAGACCGGCCTAGCTCCTCCCAGACCTGCCTAGAGCCTCGCAGACCCTCCCAGCGCCGTCCAGACCAGCCTAGCTCCGCCCAAACCCTCCCAACGCCTCCTAGACCAGCCCTGCAGTGCATAAGCTTGAAAAATCGCTAGGCAGTAGGCTTAAAGAACAAAAGAAAAGAACCAGACCCACCTTGGCACCCAGACCTGCCTAGCGCCGCCTAGACCCGCCTAGCGCCGCCCAGACCGACCTAGCGCCGCCCAGACCCGCCTAGCGCCGCCCAGACCCGCCTAGCGCCGCCCAGACCCGCCTAGCTCCGCGTAGACCCGCCTAGCGCCGCCTAGACCCGCCTAGCGCCGCCTAGACCCGCCTAGCGCCGCCTAGACCCGCCTAGCGCCGCCTAGACCAGCCTAGCGCCGCCTAGACCCGCCTAGCTCCGCCCAGACTCTCCTAGCTCCGCCTAGACCCGCCTAGCGCCGCCCAAATAAACCGCCCTCTTGTTCAGCGCTTTAATTAATGGATCCTATATCCGATGACATATATTTCATGCCGTTTTGTTTTGGTATAATTTTATTTAAATTTTAAAGACAATAATATATAGATGGAAATTCAATGCTTCTTACTTGGTGTGATTGCTGCAAGCCTGCAACTACAGCCTCTTGGGTGCTTTGCCGCTGCTTTGTAAAGAATATTTATAGGTTTATGATTATCTTGTTAAGTTGTGGAAGTCCTATTGTTTAGGGACTCGGTTGTTTAGTTGCTAGTTAATCGGAGAGTCCAAGTTATCATGGAGTCATGGTTAGTGGCTGAATGTCATGGTTTAGTCGTGCACTAGCAAGCCAACGTTTCAACGAAGAGCTCTTCTTGCGGATTCCTCTGAAGGCCTTTGGCGGTCTTGGCAAGTTTGGAAGGTGAATGTCATCAAGATCTATAGAGTTTAGTTCATGTGAGTGTGCAAGAGATTTGAATAAAGCTTCCTCTGTCATTCCTGCAAATGAATCTGGAGAATATCCATTCCATGAGAAGTTATGTCAAACAAACCAGGAAATACAGGACAAGGATAATTATGTATCAGCTCACCATCCAGTAGTTCCCCAGAAATTGTCATAAACCCCTTCAAAAGCTTACCCAAACTCCAATTTCTTGGATGCTATTAAGCAGTAGGGAATCAGTAAGATGAATTAGTGGACAGCAGTATACAACATCCTATCTGAAAAACAGGCCAAGCAAGATATGGTCGCAGCAATCAGTAATACAAAGGCATGCTTACTAATATACACTGCCTATTTATTTTTAACACAAAGGCATTCATACATTGATAATTTGTTTTGGATGTTGTCACACTTAGCAACCTCAAATTTTCCTATGCTTCAGATTGTAATATATACTGATCCTCTCAGCTACCTTTACGTGATATGACTCAGTTTTGCATTCTGGGCCACACTTTCTAAATTTATTTGTAACATCGCTAAATACTACAAACATAAGGAGGTTTAAAAGTTAAACTAGTTATCAACAATCTTCCTTAGACCAGGTAAAACCATTTTTCTCGATGTCTATTGCTTTGAATTTTTCCCCGATATCCAAGTGTCTGTACGAACAAGCATGCTATTGTAAACTGATTACGTATTGTATTCTAGTTCAAAATATAGCAATACATTTGAAGTACTGACACAATGTTTACAATAGTGAGTGTTTATTAATTAAGAAGTTTAAGTAACACACAAAATGCTACTATATTTGGGTGATAAATTAGATGGCTGCGAGAACCAAGTTGGTGAGACTCAGAAACTTACTGGAATATGTGCTGGGAACAACTTTCATTATCACCAGTTAAAATGGACTGTCTAAGTTCATAGACATGCTTTCTCTGTACCTGGGAAAAGGGAATAAACAATTCGGCAGAGGTAGTTTTTGTCGGGAGAAGTCTAATCCGGCAAACTAACGGAGTTTTTGACGGAATCTAACGGCAGTGACCATTTGTGATGGCACATACTAACCTTGAGGACCACGAGTGACACAAAAAAACATTAAGGATGCAATCTGATAGTTTCGTAAACTTTAGGGACGTTTTGCGATATTAAGCCTAATACAAATCAAGTACATTTGATTTGTGAATCATCCATGGCCCTCCAAACAATATAGATATGGCTATTTACTGATGGTCTTGAATTTTATCAGATTGTCAGTACAAAATCTTTTCACTTGGCAAATTTGATGATCCAACAATGGATTTACATGCTGAAAATCACACTTACAAGATTTTCATTCCTTTGCCTTCCCTGATTTCAAGTTTCAACACCATATACATCAGTCATATATGGGTTTTGGATTTAAAGAAAAATAAATAAATGAAATTGGATATATATGACCTTTTAAATGTAATTTTCAGAAAATAAAAATCATGTAAATGCAATCATTTGAAAGGTGGGAGGGAGAATAGGAACAAGATTGGGAAAATTGTCACTCTTTATTTTATAGGTGGTGGAAGGGAAATTGAGATAGCTATAGAGACGGGTTTTCCATCTGGCAGGTTTGAAGAGACGCATCAACCATTGCTCCATGGTATGTTATAACCCCGGCTTTGCACATATCGGCAATAGCTCTTGTGTATTTCATAAGTCCACACCTGCACGAAAAATAGTCAAATTAAACCAGCATCATCAAAGGTGACAAAATAATTAGTGATATTCACCATGTTATATATAGTGATATTCACCAAAAACTTAGTTTTTGTTGCTAAAAACTCGAGCAACAAAATTATGTTTGGATTAACTATGTAGTCATATGAAGTCTTACAAGTATTTTAAGATAAGGGGTGGACGGTGGGAAGACCTCTCTCAATCCAAAAATCTAATTCCTAGTTTATGGATTACATTTGAAGTGGACGATGGGAAGGCTTAATAAAGCATCTTCAAACTTGGATTTGATGACCCTATTCCGTCGACGTTAAGGGTTCTTTACTAATTAAGTTTTTTGTTTATTTATTTATTTTTGGCCTCGTCCAAAATGACGTCGTTTTGGCGAGGAATTTATAAAAAAAAACACGCTAGCGCAACAGCAAAGCAAAAACTAGCCTCTTTGATTCGACAAACACGTTATGGGCACAACCATAGGGGCAATTTCCAGCAGCATATTCATGGCTATTTATGGCAAAGGGAGATGCAACTACACCTCATTACGCCTTTGTGGGTTTGCCATTGACTAGAGGTTGCACCAGAGGCCTAATAATGTTCAACACTTGTGAGCTCTTCTTATATCCAAACAAAAGCTTCCCTATTTGATTTATGCCAGGTGCCTCCTATGAGCAATTTCATCGAGCAGTTGCTTATTAGCTTCAATCTTCTTCTCATCCGACCCAACATGAGCTTTATTAAAACAAGGAGTCAGGGATGGACTCAGAAATCTTACCTTATGGGGTCATAGTGTAAAAGTTTGAAATTTTTTATATATCAAAATAACATTAGAAATGAAACGTTCATTCATAATTCATATAAAAAACAACATTACAAGCTACAATTGTCTACGACGAGATTTCATATTTTGAAAATGTAGCATTATAACTTCATTTTTAATACAAGCAAAAACATCATTCTCAACATAAACAAGAAAATTATCACTCAACCATTGATCTCACATTTTGTTTCGAAGTAATAACTCACATCAATTAAAGAGAACACTAAATTTATACCAATGAACTACAAAAAAAAATTCATAAATGAAACATCCAATAAATCAAAATAAAATCATAAAATCATAAAATCATAATTTCAATTCAATTAATTTATGCTTAGAGTTAGAATTTACTTGAATTGTGAGGTGGTGGACGCGGTGGCAACAATGGAGGAGATGGGGGTTAAAGGCTTTGTTGTGTGTGTGTGTGGGGTTAGGGGAGGGGAGGGGAGGGGGGAAAGGGATGGAGGGACAAAAGAATTGGGGTTTTGGGAGTTGCTAGGATCAGGTATGGAAGGGTTTAGAATAGCTGGTTGTTGTTTTTTTTTTTTTTTTTTTTTTGACCTGGCCCAAAACGACGTCATTTTGGCCAGGTCATTTAAAAAAAAGAAATTCGCTAGGCTAAAACGACGTCGTTTTGCCCAGCATTTTAACAAAAATTGAAGCAGCGCGCTGCTTCTTCTTCTTCCTTGCACATCAGCCATTTCGTTCAGGCCAAACAACAAGCAAGTGGAGGGCATCCATGGGGTCGCACAGTAAGCTAAAAGGGACCTTCACGCTTATTTCCATGGAATCCATAGGGTCGTTTGACCTCATTGACCCCACTGTGGGTCCATCCCTGCAAGGAGCATGGATGAGACATGAAAGTTAAGACTACTAATTATATGTGATGTTGGATTAATTCAAGGGTCCTTATTAAAGAGGTCCTCTCTAGTCTTATCATAATTTTATACAACATGATGTGGCAGTTAATGTGTACAACATCAGCTAATTAATGTGATTAACACATTTTTTTTCTTTATTAAAATACTAGCCCGTCATGCATGTGCCAATTGGTTTTCTTTTTTATTTTTTTTATTTTATTTTTAGAATTAAAAAAAGATAATATGGGTAATTATGTTCCATAAAAATAGGACATATTATCGGATTTATTTTAATTTTTAATTTTTTTAATATGAAAAAAATGTGAATTTACCATATTATCCTCATTTAATTAATAATTTCAAGTCTCAATGTTTGAATTAACCAAGGACATTTTCTGGTATTTTGAATGTTTCACAATTCTCTATCTTTTGCTTTATATATACTAGCCCCTTTGCACACGCTCACGCATGTGCCAATTGGTTTTCTTTTTTATTTTTTCTTTTCTTTTTAGAATTAAAAAAAGATTATATGGGTAGTTATGTTCCATAAAAGTAGGACCTATTATTTGATTTTGTTTTTGTTTTTATTTTTTTTAATTAAAAAATATGAATTTACCATATTATCCTTATTTAATTAATAATTTTAATTCTTAATGTTTGAATTAACCAAGAGTATTTTCTGATATTTTGAATGTTTCACTATTCACTGCATTTTGCTTTATATATATATATATACATTATATATATATGCTTCATTGATTTAATTGATGTGACATATGATATGGACATGTCACATCACGTGGTATAGAAATGTTGGATAAAAATGTGGTAAGTGTTACATTACTCATAATTTAATAGTTTAATATTTATTTATTTATTTTAGAAAATTATAGAAATAGGTTTAAAATTTTAATATTTTAGGCACATTTTTTTTCAATGCTACATTGACATACATGCCCTTAACAAAAGACTTATGTGCATGTCATCTAATGGTTTCGACATAACTTTTAAGAGAAGTTAACTTAAGTGGTATATCAGCAATGAAATTGAAGTTTGGGTGGTAAATTGCTAAAAAATTTTCTTTGTTTGGTAAATGCACACACCCCAAAATAGGAGAAAAATTTAGTTGCAACGACCAATAATACTATATCACTTGGAAGTATTATCACACCTGTCATAGTGTTATTGGTCAGAAATAGCAAAATTGTACTATCTCTGTTTCATAAAAGTTAATAAGCCATGTGATATATATGCAAAATCACATATTTTATATTATAGTATGAATTTTTACCGTGCTATCCCCGTTTTATGAAAATTTTGACAAAAAAAAAAATCCCCGTTTCATGAAAGTTAATAGGCCAGGTGAATATGCAAAATTTCTACTGTGAATTTTGAATTGAGTTGATTAGTATCACTTGCTCAATTAACAAAGATTTTTTCCAACAACCAAAAACATTAACAAAGATTTTTCGCCTAGAAAAGCGGCTGACATGTCATCGTTTGATTGGGTCGCTGACATGGCATCATTTCATTGGGTCGCTGACATGGCATGGTGCCACGTGGAAAACAAGACCGAATATCCAAAGGCACCCTTCCCTCCTCAGTGCTCCCAAAACAGTCAGTGTCAAACGTGAAATGACGTTACGATCAGATCCCATCCCACCAAAAAT